TTTTTTTTTTTTTTGCATTTTTTATCCTAAATTTTTGTGTGAATTTTATTGGTCAAGCTTTTGATTCTTGGAAAGACCAGTCTAAACAAACTTACAGATGTCTCTGTATCCGACAAACTGTTGAAGCAAGTTTGCCGTACTGTTATACTTCTGCTAATGTCTTTCTTAGTTCTAACGAATATGACCGCAGTGAAAATCATACGACAAACTTCCATTTATTTATCCCTTATCTTATTTCCCAGTTGTTACAAATAAATGTCTCAAAATTGATTGCAATTACTGGAAAAAAAAAAAACTATGCGCAATTTTGGTGTCTGAAAAATTTTGTCACGTATAACTAAACAAGAATTTTATGTGCAAAATTTTTTTTTACTGATATGAAAAGATAAACAGAATTAAATTTTTCAGATAATTTAACCAATGATATTCTCAACAATATCAGTCGTAATTTTGTGTGTCGTTTTATTGAAACAATTTTCAATGATAAATGCAGGATGTATAACATCAGCATGCGATACGAAGTAAGCTTACAACTGTTTCTTTTAGATTTTAATAACTAAGGTTAAGAAATATGAAGATGAAAAGATTTTATCTTCTTTTCTTTTCTTTATCGTTTTTTTTTGGAAGAGATAAAACATAATTGTTATTGTTGTAGTTCAAACTATATTGCCGGTGTCGCTTCTGTTGCCGGTACCGGCGCCTCTAACAGTTTCGGTGGCGGCGCTCGACCATTGTTGGTTTCAACAGAACGACCGGAGCTATCATCAAACGCAAACGAATTTTTTACTGAAGAATTGCTAAACGAGATTCGAGCTGGGCGTGCACGAGTAATCGAAAGGCATCGATTTAGGCCTATTTATCGATATGATGATCCAGAAACCGGGATCAGTTATGCTGTTATAAAATCGCGTAGTGGAAATTTGCTGATATTGGATACGTTAGATAACATATATAATGAAAGATATCGATGGCATCGTACAGGAGGATATATTGAACGAGGAAGTTCTGAACCGATATATGATACCTCAAGAAGACGTACAGCTAGAGCAACTTTTAGAACATTAAAAAGATGAATGAAAAAAAATTTTTTTTTTGCGTTAGCTGTTTTTAATAGCTTAATTATTATTATCAATAATAAACAATGTACAAATTTATATAAATAATTTTTTAAAACTGCTATTAATAATAATTTTATATTTATGCTGAAAATGATAAACGAAATCTACCTTTTTTTTCACGTTTTCTTACTTGTCAGATGATCCAATTTTATTTGCTAAATTATGTCTTTTATATCTAAAATTTATTGTGTGAAAAGAGCAAACAAAAAAAGAGAACAGAAGAGTTTATATAATGAAGAAACTTTATTCTTATTTGTC